ATCGACTGACTTCCATTGTTGGTTACACTTTAATCACCAACCTTAATCTTTAACGGTCTTCTCTAATATCTGGGCAGCTCTTTTGTCTACTTTGAGCCGTTAGAAGTCTTTGCTGGATAACTTTAATCTATTGGGAAGTTTGATCCACTATATTAGGACCATACTTACTTTTCTTTTTGATTGAGCTCTATCCAGCACAAGGGAGATCTACACTTCCTCCTGAAAAGTGCTTCGTATGGCGCCATTCGGATACTTGAATGGAAATGGTTATCTTAAGCGAACTCAGGTAACGGTAAGTACATATCCTAGTTACTGCCGAAATCAAGGACATATGCGTGTAGCATATTTTCTAACATCCATAACATTCTTTGTGTCTGCCCATCCATCTCAGGATTGTAGGCTATACTGAAGTTCAAAGTAGTGTCCATTTCTTTCATAAGGACCTCCAAAACTTCAAGTAAATCTCAGGTCTTAGTCTGAAACCATACTGCTTAGGACATTCAGTAGCCTAACAGCTTCCTTAACTTTCATCTTCCATTATCTTCTAGACTCAGTGCATTCTTGCCAAAATGGCTAACATTTCTGGCTTTTGCACTTTCTTACATTTTTCCAGGGTCACCCTTCCTTGGGCTATTCTTGCCTGAGACACGCTTAACTGAACAGTGCTGACGGGAATCTGAGGCACTGATTTTGATAGGCTTAACCCTTGTACTTTGTTGTCTTAGACCCCTTTCTTGATCTATCTTTAGTTGGGTCTTTTTAGCTTACATTCTTGTCTCTTATCTCATCTTAAGGATTTATCCATCAATACTCCGTCTGTCTCTGCATTGCATGGGTTCTTTCTGTATCTAGAGCTAGCCTGAATGTTTCTTTTTCAGGTCTTATGGCTCTAACTCCTCTAACTTTGGCTTTCCTCTATTAATCAGAAGGAAATTGAATCCAGCCTAATTAATGATAAGGTTTTCTAGAAGGAAGTTGTGGGTACTCTCTCGGTATCGGTTTACAACTGAAGGAGGTTTCCACATCCTCAACTCATCTCTAGTCCTTATCTTCCCAAAGTGGTACCATACTCTTAAGATCTCTGGGAGACTTTTGACCATAGGACAAAGTATAGTCACATCCTCTCAGTTGGTCACCTAACTGATAATTCCCCAAAACTGTTCCAAGAACTAATACCATTCTCTTAGACTTTATGTCAATTCCCCAGGCTACTTATTTGTCTCTTTAGGTGCCTAAGCCAATCTATCTTAGGAGTTCTCTTATTCATCCAGCTGATCTTACCGTCTCCTACTATTTTAGAACATTACAAAGAGAGAACCTTGCAACTTCTCTTCCCTCTACTTTACTTTTTCAGTAGGGGCATACTCTATCATGCATAATGCCTAGCATTTCAAATGTAAGGAGTGCAAGCTCTTACTGGTTGCTATGTCTATGGCGTGCTAGCTAGACATCTTAGCCCTAAAAAGGGAGCTTCTCTTTCTGTTCGCAGTTGCTTTCGGAAGTCGTAGGGAGAGGTCTTTGACGTTCTTCCTCTTTCTACTTGCTCTAGTACTCTGCTAAGCTCAGATACATCTAAGCCTAGCTTCGTTCTTGGCTAGTCATACTTTCATTGGGTAAGGTCAACTCTGCTTACCCTGCCTCGGCTGCTTCCCTTTCCTGTTCGAATAGGTACCTTACTCCATCTTGAGCAATGTAAATTTTAATCTGGAGGACCAATTCTCACCCTCTTTAGGAAAACTCCTAGCCAAGACCTTATCCCTTAAAAAAGGTGCCTCTCAACCTAAGCCCCAAGCAACTGAGTATCTCTTAATATTAAGGGAAACATGCCAACCTCTAAGCTAGTTCCCTGCATAGCTATCTATCTTGTCCTATTTTTCTTGATCCTTAAGACATTTTACTAGGGCTCTCCATCTTAACTTCACTATCTTAAAGTTCCTATTTATCTATTCTGGGACTTGAGATAGCTACTCTATCATGGTGCCCTAGCCCTAACGAGGCTGTAAGAGTTTATCTAGCTTAGGTTGCCACTTACACCTTCTTAGTGGTGTAAAGACTCAACCCCTAACTGTCTTATTTAACTCCTTATCATTACTTTCTTTTTATGGGGAAATCTGGTAACTCTAAATAGTGGCTACTGGTTTCTTCCTGACTTCTACTTATCTTACTCTTTTCGACCTCTAAAAGTCATTATGTCTCATTCAGATACCACCTCAACATCTGAGAGTTATTGTGTTCATCCGTCATGACCAGAATCCTTGTTTGTAGCAATGAAAGTTACCACCTCCTCTGGTAATCACTTCCGTATCCGTCCATCACCACTTATTCTCTTGGTTCGTCATGATGAAACACACTTTTCTCTTATTCTCTACTACTCTTACGTAGCTTCATTCATCATACCATGCTTGTTTGGGCATCCGTTACGAGGTTTAACTTAGCTTCCGGACTTACTCCATTTCTCTTAAGGGTAGGATCATGGTTTTGTCCTTGCCATTATGGGACGACAACCAATTCAATCTCATCATCACATCAACTTCATAGAAGGTCTACATATCAAATTTAAGGCAATATAACAGTGCTCATAACCAAGCTGAGTCTTTTAAAACAATTTACAAGACAAGAAAATGACTAGCACCCGAATCAAACATTGCAATCACGGGGTGGTTATTAATAATGATCATGCCTTAGATCATTTCTAGAGATTTTTGAGTTTCTTTCCCTATGATGGCAAATACTCGTCCTCCTGTGCGCGACCTTGCCTTTTCTATAATCTGCGGACATTCTCTTAAGAAGTGTCCAAGTTTACTGCAAGTATAACAGACATTTTGTCTGGCCATACATGCTCTATTACTCTGACTCTTACCACAGGTTGGCATTCCTTACCATTTGAGGGCTTACCTCCCTTTTACTCTTTCGGTTGCCCCATGGCCTCTTCCTCTTCTTATTCGCATCATAAGAGGTGCCATCCTGATCTCCCTTCTCGAACTTGGGAGTAGGCTCAATCATCAAATGATGGTTCAAGCTATTCTCCATAATTCGACAGGCCTCAACTGCCATGTCGAAATGCTTGAACTACCTGGCAGCAATTATCTCCCTTAAGGACTGCTTTAGTCCTCTGACTATCTTTTTAGTCATCTACTTTTCATCATCTCAGTAACACAGGTAACTGAAGTAGTGAGAAAGATGTCTGAACTTAGCTAAGTGCTTATCAAATGACTCGTTAGCCTTCTGCTTCAAGGTTAGGAATTTCACTTCCCTTTCATCCCTGACTGACCTCAGAAAATATTTCTCATGGAATTGCTCTAGGAGCACTTCCCATATTGCTCTCGTGTTCAGAGCATCCAGAAGAATCTTAGTATTCTTCCACTAATGATCAGCATCTTTTTCTAGCTGGTAAATAGCCATCTGGGCTTTCCGCTTAGTCGGACAGTCCAAAACTTTGAAAATCATGATCCAGTCCACTACTGCTTGGATGTCAATCACTCCATCGAAGGATGGCCGATTGTGCTTGCAAAAGCGTGTCATCCACTACTGGATGCTGTCGAGGTCTACTGCTGGTATTGTCGGTCTAGGTAATTGTTCCGTTACTTGCGCTGCTGAGCTTTCTTCCTCTGGCTACCTCCTGTTGAGGTTAGCCACTGCCACTGCTGCCGTTGCTGCTATTACAGTGTCTTTTTCTTGTTCCTAGCTAGCTTGTGCCACCCTTAACCCTCTAATAGCCTTTTATTGCTATTTTAAGCGATCCAAAATTAATCATAGCAGATCAGGAGGGACCTTTACGTCGTGTCCTGAGGGTCTCTCCGGCAAAACATTTTATCGGTTCTAACCAATACGCTAACTAAATAGATAGTATGTTCGAGGAATAAGAAATAAACAACATACTTGGATTTCATTTAAGAACATATGCATCCATAATACATTATTCAAGCATCAGTTATCAGTCACAGTAATATAGTTTAACATACATAGCCATCTTAAGAACATACATAGCAATCAAGCATGCCAGACTAACCTACTCAGGTTAGCTGTATCAAAACAAGTCCTACATCAGTTTTACGAGGATCTGACTATCTAAAAATAGTGAACCTTAACAAAGTTTTCAAGGTACTGGATGTAATCCTCAACACCTAAATCCACTGTCAGATTCAGGCAACAGAACTCATATACCTAGAAGGGTAAATATGGAAGCATGTCTGTCATCATAAAGATCCAGTCCTTGGTGCCTAGATAAGGGTTACCCAGTCCATGAGTCTGATATAACACCTTTACTCCCTGAAGGTATTCTAGGTAGATATTCGAGTCTTGCTCATCCTCATCTTTCTTGATATGTCGACCCAAGAATTCCAACTTCTCTCTCAGTTGATCTTGACTACAGATCTTAGGCTCAGTTGGAACATGGATAGGTACTATGGGTGTCGGGGGTATCCCTGGCTTGGCACTAGGTCCGGGGATGTTGCTTGGGTGTACACTTGGGGTAACAAGCTGTCTGTGAGACTGAATATCAAAACTGGGGTCTACTAGTTCCTGATACAAATAAATTGTGGGATCCACTGGGTCACTGTGTATGAGAAGGTTCATTACATCCTTAATAGTAACCCCTAAAAGGTTAGCCCTATGCTCTGGATAATTGTTGGACTCCTTTGCTGAGTATCCTGGACTAACAGTCCCCATAGTCCATCCCACCGAATTCGTTTTGGTGAGATCGGTCATGTTAATATACCAATCCGCTTTGGACTAGCATGGCCTTTTGCATACAAACCATCTGATCACTTAGGATGGCCAACTTATTCAAAATTTCATCAGTTTACCAAGCCCCTACTCTATGTACTTGAGCAGTATCTCTAACTCTAAACTGTTGATTATTTGCAGCCATCTTCTCTAACAAATTCCATGCACCTTGAGAAGTCAAATCAATTAAAGAACCACCAGCAGCAGCATTAATGGTGGACTTTTGATGATCTAGTAATTCATCATAGAAATATTGAACCAAATGTGGTCGAGAAATTTGGTGATATGGGCATTTGGCAAGGAGGGCTATGAATCTCGTCCAATACTCATAAAGGCTTTCACCAATCCCTTGTTGAAAACTGTAGATCTCTTTCCTCATTCTAGCAGTCCTTGAGATTGGAAAATACTTTTCCAAGAATTGTTTCTTCAATTGCTCCCATGAAAGTGTTGCAAAATGTTAAGGCAACATGTGCAGCCATTCCTTAGCCTTGCCTTCCACAAAAAACAAGAAGGCTTTACTCAGTACATCATCAAGGTAGGCTCCGAGAGGCTCTATGGATAAGCATATCATGTGAAGGTTTTGGAGATGCCTATGTGGATCCTCTCCTGCATTGCGATGAAATTTAGGTAAGGCACTTATCAAAGCTCCTTTTAATTCAAAATCAGTATTAAAATTGTAGAAGCCATAAGGATTATAATCAACACTAGAAGAATTCATTTCTCTTATGCTTCTATGCCTAACATTAGCTCTATTGTTTTCAGCTTGTTGCTCCTGTACATTATTATTCAAATTAGGTCTTTCCTCCTCTCTATGAACTTCATTAACCCTAGATGGTTCAATATCCTTAGGCATATTATTCTGATCCATGATAAAATGATGGTCTATGTAGTTGCCAAGTGAAGAATCAGATTTAGAAAACTTAGAGGATTCACAAGAATATTCAGAATGTAGTGAAAATGAAGGTGTAGAAGGTATAGGATGTTCAAAATGTAAACCACCAGTACCCTCAAGTAATCTTTCTTTCCTAAGTGCTCTCAAAGTCTTATTTATTTTAGTGTCAAGTGGCAAAACTGTTTCTTTTCTAGATCAGGTCATACAACACTTAGACTACTTCAAGAGATTAAGCACCCAAACACAAGTCAATCTTCAAGAATCAAGAAATTGAATGAACCAAGAAAAGAATCAATGAATTCAAGTCAATAACATCTGAAGATGCAACATCCAAAAATTTCTAACCTAGAAATAGGGAAATATGTCATACCCTGATATCTTTAGCATGATTAATGAAAGATTTAGGGTTGACCAAGGCCAGGTGAGATAGACAATAGATGAACAGCACAACAATTGAAGTGAGAACTGAAATAGGACCAAATTGTCATTTTTAAAAATGATTGGTCTATAAAGGGCATTATCGTAATTAGTGTCCGGAAATCCTAAAAATTTCTAGTAAATCATGGAAAATAGAATTAATGCTGTAGAATGGTATTTGAGGTCTAGAAAGTAAATACAGGTTGAAAATAATTTGTTAAAAATTATTTTAATTATTAATATTCCGGCTAAATTAAGGAAAATTAGCCAATATTAATTATTAAAAATATCTAGAGATCTCAGAAAATTATGAAAATTTAAAGGAAATTAATTTAGGAATTATGGAAATTTAGAAAATTAATTCCAACCCTAAATGATGAGGAGGTTAGCTTTAATTGAATTTAAAGCTAAATTAATATCGGTAGATTGTCTGTTTTTACAGAAACGGCAATTTAAGGAGTTATAGAGGGAGAAAAATCATGAAATTATTCAAGGAAGTTTTCTTTACTGAGATATAATTAATGGTGAGTTGATATAAGAATTTTGAGATACTAGAATTTTTTGACTATCAGATAAAATAAACCAATACTATATTAAGACTCAGTAGACTGTCAGGACAACAGGGGTGATAAAATTTCCTACAGATTGCCAAGGATACATGTCACGCACAAATTGGCCAAGAAAGGGAAAAAGAAAATAAAAAGAAAAAGAAAAAGAAAATAATAAATCAAGTTAGATTAAAATTTAATTAGGGATAAGTAAGATAATTAAGGTTAAGCCATCTTCTGTAGGATCGTGACACGTGGCAAACATAGTTCATTGGATGGTTAGGATTTAACCATCTATCTTTAAAAAGTCAAAAGTTTCTAGAAGGGTAATTAGACAAGTTCAAGGAATTAAGAGAGTTAACCTTGATTAAAGCCTAATTAATCTTAATGGATAAGAAGAGATGACATAAGCCCTAGTGACTCACCATCCAAGTTGTAACATCCTGATTTTTAGGTCTAGAAGTATCAGAAATAGCCTGAATGAGATAGGCTACCAGACCCCTTTTAGTAGAGGTCTTAAAGATGAGAAAGGAAGCTAAAGCAGTTTCAGGGACTAAACTGCAAAGTGAATGTTTTAAGGGGCTAAAGGGTAATCAAAGTTAGAGGCTCCAGTAGAGTCTCAAAGGCCCAGAAAGAGAAAAGAGGCTAGATACAGACCAAAGGTTAAGTTAGAAGCCTCAAAGAGATGGTTTTATGAGGTTGAGTCTAAGCAGGGGTAAAACCGTAAATTCAGAAAGTTACGGCCATCAGGGGTAAAAAAGAAAAGTACTTAGAAAATTCTAAGAAAATCCCAGAAAATGGGAAATAATATTCTAAGACTCTTTTGTGAAGAGAGATGATGAAAATACCTCTGAGCTAACTTAAAAGGAATTTATAAGTTTATGGCTCAATTTGAGATATAGAGGTAGATTTAATTGTTTGAGTCATAAGGAAACCTCAGAAAATTATGGTAAAATGGGAATGTATGATCTAAGAGACTATCAAAAATTATAAAATTAGTCTCATCCCCAGAAGACCAGCAAAATGGCTTTAAGAATACTTAAAAGCCAGTTGTGCCGAAAAAGGACATTTTAAAGAATGATTTTTAAGTGGAGCTACAGGTTCAGTTATGACCTGAGAAAATTCACAGATTTTCTCTAGAATATGAGGAATTTTATGATATTTTTGGATAAATTTTTGGAGCTCTGGATTGAATAAAATCCTCCAGTCAAATATTAAATAATTTTATCCCCTAAATAGGAGACAAAACCAAAGAAAATATCTAAGAGTCATCATGACGATGCTGAGTCAGCGTGCTGAGTCATCAAGCGTAATCATGACACTTACGAGTCATCATGCTGAGTCACCAGAAGATATTTATGGACAGCATAAAAATCATAACGCAGTATGGAAATATTTTAGACAGTCTTTTGTCTACCCGTTATAGTGAAATCTCTACTGCATGACTCAGTAAGGTTAAGTAGCCTGTCAGTAGAGCTAATTATTTTCATCTATGCTCCTCTAAGGTGGCACCATATATGTACTTATGAAGATGAGAAAATAGTGTCAGAACATGTCCTAGTGGTACAGGGTAAGTCAGGACCCGAAAAATATCCGATACGGTGTAAGATTGGCTTGATAGGTGGCGAAATAATTAAGAAAATATTTTTGCACGAATTTTCCATTTATTTTCTCCCTATTTTAATGCCATAAATGATGAAAGGACATGAAAGTGACAAGTGTACGGTTAGATGAGAAAAAGAAAATATTACGTGTACGGCTAGATGGAAGACACGTGTACGGTCGGATGCAAGACACGTGTTCGGTCGGATTAAAGGCATGTGGCTTGATGATGTAAGCATGATATCATCATGATGAGGTAGGCATGATGTCATAGGACACTTGTCACCGCAAGATCAAAAGAGAAAATGGACGGTCCAGATCGAGCCACGTATTTTTAAGATCAACGGTCCAGATTCAGTCTGTTTTTCTATAAATACCCCCTCCCCTCCCTACCATTTCGTCCAAGCATAAGGAATCCATGGGGAAGCTCTTGAAAAATGGTTTCTAGAGAGAGAAAGAAGAGGGAGAAAGAAAGGCCAAGTGGTTCCAAGCCAGATCAAACTCTAAAACAAGGTATGTGATGGTTATAGCACCTGATTTTATGCCTATTTCGGATTAGTTACTGTGCGTATCTGATTCTGAAATTTTGCATGCTTAAAGTACACTCTGGGAGATTTAAATCCATAGGTAGAACACTTCATTTGGATATGTGTATGATTTATGGTGATTTTTCAAAGTTAGGGTTTGAAATCTGGAAACAGTGTTGAACTTTTGGAAGAGTTTCGAGTTCCGTACAGTTCTGGTACTGTTCGGTGTAGAATTGGATCCTGAAAATATTTTTCCTTTAAGGTTACTTAAGGATCTTCCAGTGAGACTTAGAATCACTCAATTTGGATTTTTCTAGAATTAATTATGAATTTTCAAAGTTGAGCAAAAATTCTGGAAATTCTGCGTGAACAGTACCCGCGAAGCAAATTTCCAGATTTGATATTCTTGAATCTAAGGCCATCTAAAGTGGTCCTAATTGACAAGAAATGGATCTTAAGGATGGGAAATGATAAGATTTATGTTAGAAAAGTTGGAAAGAAAACCCTAAGACTAAGAGAAAGGGTTGAGGTTCAAGAAAGCTAGTCTTGAACTTTATGTAATCTAGTGGTCCTAATGGATTGTATGATCAATGTGACTATGTTTAGGACCTTTGGAACATCGAAGAGGATGTTTGGTGATGTTGACCAAATGTCCACATGGTTGGAAAGATAAGGGAATCAAAGGAAAAGCAAGGGGAAAGCCATGTTACAAGGTAATGAACTTACCTATACTGTGTGCTTGATATGTATGCTTGCATGATGTGGTTGTGTTGCCATGATGTGACTAAGCTATGATGAAATATTTGCAAAGTTATGTTTGCAAGTTTATGTTATGTTTTGCCTTGGCAATATGTTATGGAAGCATGAAATGCTTTAGCTTACTTTCCATGGCATTCATGTGTTAATGTTATAACATGTCATGCATGTGCATTATGTCTTGCATGCTTATGGGTAGTGTTTGCTACTGAGATTCTCCCGAATCTCACCCGTCCCTAACCAACCATTTAGGTCAATCAATGATAGGCAATAATGGCATGAGAAGCAAGGAGAAGTAAGCGGAGAATTATTCTTGTTAATGGATGAGACTGTTGATAAATGTATAATTCTACTATTATATAATTTATGTTATGGATGCCTATGATGCCATGTATTTAATTGTAATGTTTATAGCATGAATGAAAATGTATGAGAATGAATGGGAAAGAGTAATCCCAAGTTATGTATGTCAAAGAAATAAAAAGAATTATAGTAAAGAGATGTTAAGGGATAAAACGTAGGTCCTGGAGTAGTGAGTTTGTAGCTCCAGTTTGACCTATCAAACGAGTGAGTTAGGTCATAAGATTTGGCAAGCAATGAGATCTGATGTTTCTCTTTAAAGTGAAGGGTAGTTTGCCTG